CAGTCTAGTGACCTCTGCAGCAGCACAGATCTTACATCTACTGCCCCAAAGGCTCTTCTGTGCCTCCCGAGCAGCCAGCAGGCAACCTCACCACGTCAGACACCTGCCCTCACCATTTCCCTTTCTGCCCCTAACTGATGAAGCAGCCCAGCATGCTGCTGGCTGCACACTCACATGTCTGACACGCAGCTCAGAACACTGCTCATTTAGCTAATAAATAAAGAGAACTGTAAAGCACAGCCTGCTGTCCTAGCAAAGCACAGTAACTAGTTAATACACAGGTCTCCAAAGGTCCTGCTGGCTCTCCATCTACTCCCAGGCTTTGATTAAGAGCAAAACAGCGACACTGGAGCCAGAACAGTGCCTCCTTTGTTCCAGATGCAAATACGATCATCGCCCAGTCCATCACTATCTCTATCACCACAAGAGTAAACCCTCTGAAGGATTCCTCTGAAACATTTGGAAAAAATTGAACAAAATGCAACTGCTTGCTTGGCATGCACTGATTGAGACACTGATTGAGAGGGAAGAAACAAGGCAGAACATTATAGGCCTACTGAGATACATCCAGCTGTTGTACGTGAGTTTCCAAATGGAATGCTCAGGTTTGTTTTGCACAGTAAAGCTTCACACCGTTTGGGGGCACGCCACCTCCAGCTGCAGTGACCCAGGGAACTCAAGTAGCACCAGCACGATCTACACAAGTTGCTGCTGGCAATACAGCGGTCTCACAGTGGTCCTGTGAGAAACGCTCTGTTCTGAGATGTTACCTTGTGAATTTGAAGACCTGCAGCTCCCATCAAGACTCTGCCAGGAGAAACCGAAAGACTTTTGGTAACATATTGAATTATAGTTCTTCATTTATTTTTTACAGAGGCACTTAAACACTGGACAGCAATGAGAGACATTCTAGACAACAAGGGTGCCACACAAAGAAAAATATTTTCCATGTAGGTAAGTTTGAGATACAAATTCCAATAACACGTAAACAAGCACATGTTGGTGGTTCTGCTGAGCACAGCCCTCCTTCCCAGCGCCCCTCCACGCCCCCCACATGGAGCAGTGGTGTGCAGAGCTCCAACCACCAGCTCTGCAGCAGGAGGTGAGCGCTGGCAGCACAGCACAGCGCATCGAGGGCACAGCAGGAAGAGCTGATGGCAGCTCAGTGAGTGGGAGCCCTCCAGTAACCATGTCCTGGGGTGCCCAGCAGGCACTGGGAGAAAAGGATACTTTTTATTTGTGATCCAGGTGTTACGATGAGGGCAGTTCCACCCGTGCCTGTGTCACTTTTTAACCTGTACCGGATGTGTTTTCCACACCTCTACGTTCTTGTACAACCGCATTTAAGGCAAACTAAGAAACTAACTATCCCCTGTCTTAAAGCCTGAGGGGGAAACAAAAGCGTGGCTTAGTGCAGCTTTCAGAGGGAAGGAGAACCACGAGGCTTTTAGCAGGTATTCAAGGCAAACGCGTGTAATGGGTTTGATGCAACTGAACTCAGATTTTATAAACAGCTCAGGATGCGTTGGTAAAAAAAAACAAACACATTTCACAAATCATTTGTTGTCAGTATTTCACCTTCAGAAAGTTTGATCCTTTAGAAGAGCAAAAGGGTTCCTGTTATCTGATTTCACGGACAAAACCAAAACCTTGCAAAGAAAGAGCCCTCTGCATCTTTTTGGCAAGCCCTCCATCTGTTCTGGATTACCTCCTTACTCCTCATTGCCAATCCTTCACCCGCTCACAGCATCCCATGGACACAGCGCTCCCCGAGCCCAGCTGCAGCCCTGCATCCCCCCAGTGCCATCACAGGCCTGTGGGCCAAATACCATCCCGTGTACAACTGAAAGCCACGGAAAGTCCTCATCAAATCACCTGCTCATCACTGTTAAAAGGCTAACGACGTGTTTTCCACAGCTAGAACTTCATAGCTAAAGCCTCCAGCTGTCGTAAGACGGCGACTCCAGAACACTAGCTAGAACTCCATACAGCAAACAGAAGTTGCCACTCTGAAACCTTAAAATATTTCTCTTAGATTTCAGCTTTAAAAATAGACCAGTATTATTTCTATGACTGATTTTTCTTTAAATAAGCATAAATGACCCAGCCAGTGCAGGAGAAGTTGAGGGCTAGAACACCCTGTTCTCTGCCTTAATGCAACATGTTGACACGTTATCTCATGTTTATCAGCCACTCAGAACTGCTTTGTATTTGCTGCTCAGAACTCCTGCATCATCCATCTGCAGCTGCAGTACTGGGGAGTCAGCTCTGGCATTGGAAGGCAGTGAGCAAGCACCCAAAGTGCTGCAAATACGGCCTCCTGGATCAGCAGGAGGCTACAACTTCTCGCCTGCAGTAAGCAAGCACCCGTTCTTTCTGACAATAACACTCTTGAACAGAGGAGCATCCATCAGGTCCTGCACCTCCAGATCATTTCTGGCTTTGCAATGTTTACTGCTGCTATTATCAACTGATATAAGAGTGCATAAAACACTGTAACTGCTGACTGAAAGCTCTGTCAATACAACTTCTACTTCTGCTCTGCTTGTTTCAGCAAACCTTCCAGAGAATCTCATCTGCCACAACAGCAGAGCACAGAACCTTTGTGCCAGGGCTCCATTTCAATGGGCTTTTGGTGACTCCAGAGAAACATTTCTGCTCAGACACAAGTGGTTCTCTGCAAGCCTTTGCCAGGATCAAAACTAAACTAAGGATTTGCTAGGATCAAAACCAACTAAGCTTTATGGAATATCAATTTCTATTGGGAACTACAGAATTAATTGTTCATTTTACTAAAATTTTATATTAATTTGCTTTGAAAAAGGAAACAATTTGTTTCCTAAGTCTCCTAAGAATTGAAAATTTTAATATCCATACATATTTGCCTTTCCCTTAGCACATTTCCAAGATGCAGCTGTAACGAGGGGACAGAGCTGCTATCAGAAATTACATTTGCTTCTGCCCGTTGGCAATTTGGCCAAAACCAGGGAAGACGTCTCAAAAGGGAGAGTTGTAACAAAGGGCAAGCAAGAAACCTGAGTGAGGCCACCGTCCCTCCCAGCCCCATTGGAGCAGCTCACACGCCCCAAGGCCAGGCGGTATTTGCAACCCGCTGGCATAGTTAGGAAAGCACTGCTGGGATCCAGTTGGCTGTGTTGGAAATGCAGAAGGCAGCTTTCTGCAGGGAGCTGCTGCTGGAAGACACAGCTGCACCGCAGCCGCTCCGATGTCGCTGACAATGAGAGGGAGCTCCCCAGATCCACTGGGACAGTGGGATCACTGAGATGGTCTTCAAGCTGCTGGCCTCACCGACGGGCAGAGAGCACCGAAATGCCATCGGGCCGTTTCCTTTTGGCCTTCCATCTGTGCTTACACACAGCAGGCAACACCAGAGGGAAGCTGGCGTTTTCCACAGCTGCCGTGTGAGCGGGCGCTAAGCTAGCTAAAAAACCCCAACCATCCGGTGCCTACACAGCGCCCAGCTCCCCCTCACAGCACAGCAACAGCCCATTTCGGGTTCTTTTACCACCCAACTCCATTGCATCGTGCTGAATTCCGTATACAGCAGCAAATACCGCATACGGCGATACAAAATAGAACCGTCGCAGTACCGGTGATTCTCACTCTTGCTCTCAGCTCCCGGCGCCGCTCCCCCCCAGCGGTGGCGATGCGGGTCCTTCCCGCCGGGCCGCGGTTCGGCCGCTCCCTGCAGGGCTGGCGGAAGGGCCGCTCCCCCCGGGCCCGGAGTTCCGGACCGGAGCCGCGCACCGGGTGCAGGCAGCCGGCCTCCAGCCCCCCCATTCACACAGCGATCATTTGGATGCGCGGTTTGGTTTTTTTTGATTTTTGCTTTTTGTTTTCTTTTTTTTTTTTTTTTCGTTAGTTTCTCTATTTCTTGAATTAGCTGTTTGCTTTTTTTTTTTTGCTTCTTTTTTTTTTAACGCTTTTTTCCTCAGCGGCCCCCCAAAGGAGGAAGGCGGCGGGAGGAGCGGCGCAGCGGCCGGGCCCGGCCCGCAGGAACCTCCAAGCAGCGCCGGGCCCATCGGGCCCACAGCGCGGCGCCGGGCCCAGCGGGAAGCTGCGGAGGGGGAGGGGCGGCCGTGACTCACCATCAGCTCGATAGTCTTGTCCTCGATCACCGAGTCGGGCTCCATAGCGGCGGCAGCTCCGCGCGGCGCCCGCCCGCCCCGCGCCCGCCAGGCCCCGCCGCCACTCGCTCGCCCGCCCCCCCGCTCGCGCGCGCGCACGCACGTACGTGACGTCACGACGCCCAGAAGAAAAGCGGCGCCCGCCGCCTCCCGCTCTCCTCGAAGCGGACCACAACTCCCGGCGGTCCCCGCGGCGCCGCGCTCTTATTGGTTGCGGCAGGCGCCCGGCGCGCTTTGCGGCCGCGCGGGGGTCGCCGGGAAGGCGCCGCGCCGCCTGACGGGCCACGCTCGGTAGCAGGCCGGGCCCCGGCGTGTGAGCGCTGTGGTGAGGGAAAATGGCGCCGGGCGGGAAACGGCGGGGCTGTGTGCAGCCTCGACCCGCAGTCAGCTCTCGCTGCGTTTCGCTTTTTGAGCCCGGTTTTCTCCTTAGCTTGGAGTTGGCCCCGCTTATTTTGGTCCTCCCTCAGAGGCGCTGAGGTGAAGCCCTGGGGCTTGGCGCGGGATGGCCCGGCCCACCTCCGGCTCCCGGCTCCCTCTGTGCCTGCCTGGCGCTGAGGCCTGCCGGTGCCCTACGCGCCCGCCAGCGGCTGCGCAGTGTTACAGGGACAGCACGGTCGAGCTGACGATGCGGCAGGCACTGAATGCGGTGGTAGGCGTTGAAGCAAAAGTGTCATCTGCAAGGGTCTGGTGTAACAACGCAGCACTGAGATGCCATGCTTCTGACAGAAATGCGCAGGGTAGCTCTCCTGCTTAGCACGTTTTACCTGTTAAAACCTGAGCCAAGTGTTTAAAAACGTGGAGTAGAACAGATGGAAATGACACAAAGTCCTTTGTTATTGACAAGAAGCCTGCTTTGTCATGCTTTTCTGTCAGCAGAAGTGTACTTTATTCGTAACAATGCTATAAAGAATTCTTCCCATCAGAACTGCGCCCTCACACAATTTAGAATCAGAATCACAAGGTTGGACCTGCAAGATCATCCAGTCCAACTGTCCTCCCACTACCACAGCTACCACAAGCACTAACCCAGATCTCACAGCTCCTCATCCAGATGCCTCTTGAACACTGCCAGGGACGGCGACTCCTCCAGCTCCCTGGGCAGCCATTCCAGTGCCTGACCACTCTGAGAAAAATTTTCCTGTGTCTCACCTAAACCTTCTCTGGTACAACTTGTGGCCATTTCCTTGGGTCCTGTTTGTTGCCTAGGAACACAACAATTTGAACGCAATTGGAGCCCAGCAGATCTCCCTGTCCACAAACCCCATCTCCCCCGTGCTGCCCAGCACCCTGTGGAGGAAATGGGACTAATGTGCCCCAGGAGCTACCACATTTACACAGCTGCAGCCAAAACTTGCTCAGCACATCCATGGCTGTGTGCTTGCCCCAGTACCCTCACAGCCTCACACTGACCCCCATCCTCACCCCAACACTCTCCATCCCCATGGGTCCCAGTCCTGGGGACTGAGAGCTGGGCTGGATTCTTTCCACCTTCACACCACTGCCTACAACTAAGGACTTGCAGATGAAGTTGTTCCCTGGTTGCTATGCAGATCCCAATCTGATCAGTCTCTTTGTTCACTCCAGGGATGAAACAAGCCAGCAGACTTGAAACATCAAAGCAAAAATTCAGTAGGTCTAATTCAAAATATACGCAGGGAAGAGCCTTGCTGGCCGGGACAATGCCATGTCACAGAGCCACCTACAAAGCACCCTGTACACCTAGGCACTGCTGTATTGTTTCCTGAAAGTGCAAAGCATTGCTGAACACTAAGAAAAGAAACAGGCAAACATTCCTGCAGAGGTTTGAAGGGAAGTAAATCCATGGCCTGGCAGCCTGAATAGCACTGCCATTAATGCATCTCAGTGACAGGCACTACAGGAGCACTTGCAGGACTCGAGCACTGCAGCAGAATGTTCCGTTGGAAGGAATCTGGACAAAAATCTGTAACTTGCTTAATCACTGGCAGAATAAAAAAGAAAAAAAAAAAACAACAAAAAAAAAACAAGAAAGAAGTGTTGGCAGTAATTAAGGTAAGCGTTATAAAAATCAGATTTTGGGTTTTTGTGCTGGAAGGTTGAGACAACATGACATACAGACTTATATTTGTAACTTAAAATTGTTTCGGAGCCAAGCTTCTCAAGACAAGGGGATTCCTCCAACCAGGCCCTAACGAGGTGGATGAAGAAATAAGGCTTTGATAAATTTAGTCCAAAATACACAGAATACTCTGCCAAGTCACTTGGCTCTGGTGAATCACTGCAACAATTTGAAAAGCATGTTTGTTGGGTGTGTGCTCTAAATCAAGAACTCAGCTGCTGGATAGAGATGGCAGGCTGCTCAATGATCAGTAATGCACTGCAGCGCAGGGAAGCAAAGGCAGATACAATTCAAATGTCCCTGCTGGAGAGCAATATTACTTCACTCACAGCTGGTAGGAGCAGGACACAAGCAAACCTTCTCCTCAGGGCAGGGACAAGCACACTCCAAGTATGAAAATGTTTCTTCCTCCTTCAAATAAATATTTTGTATCCAAAATGGATGACACAAGGTTTGATGTTTTATTATTAATTTTGATAAAGAGCTGGATGTGTAACAACTCCTTCACCTGCAGATGCAGTAACCATGGTCAGCACAGAGCCCTGAGCTCAGGCTGCAGGAAGGGCCTGCACAGCAGAACCCTGCAGGGTTGGAGCAGCAAAATCTGCGTTGGCTGCTGGGCTGCTTGGCACAGGGACGCTGCACGTGGCTTTTGTCACAGGCAGCAGTGCTGCTCAATGGGCTTCCGGGTACCCACCTGCCCCACACACAGGCTCAGCACTGTGCCTGCTCCTCCTGTGGCTTTGCTTGTTGAATACAGATGTGGAGATAATGGATCAGGGAAGGAAACGGAGATCAGGTGTGGGAAATGAGGCTGTGCCCAGCTGCAGTGCCTGGATCCTATGACTCATGGCTGGGTGGGGTGTGCTGGAGCAGCCCTGGGGTTGTGCCTCTGCTGCAACTGCATGGAACAGACAAGGGGCAGTGAGAATCGCCTCAAAGCTGGAGAAGAGATGACCTCGTGCAGACCTGTGGTCAGCCCTCATCAAACCAGCAGGAAGGGCTGTGACCCAGCTGTCCCAGCAGCATTGCTCTGCACCCTGCAGCGCTCAGGGATGCTCCCAGCTCCACTACAGTCAAAACCACACACCTTCTTCATTATTTTCTAACTCGGATGCCTGGAATATATTTGTTTTTACACCTCTGTAGACATGCTGTCACATCTTTCCAGACATGCCTTGAATTTCTCCACAGGAGGCAGCTCTAGCTCCTAGCAGGCACCTGGAAATGCAGAGGTGGGCCTAGGGGAGTGCCACCCCTGCACCCTATGGCTTTACCAAGGTCTCTGCAATCCCTGTGGGCTGTGGACAGCTGCCTAGGCTGCAAACAAAATCCACCCTGGTGTAATAAAATAAGAAGATTTAATGGAGATAAGACGTCGTGGTGAAAGAGGGAAGAAAAGAGTGACAAGGAAGAGACAGGGCGTGTTGGCGTGTGACGAAACAGCAGTGACAACGAAGGCCAGGTGCAGGATTGAGGCATCCTCATGTCCTGCCCTCCCAAAGCATGTTCCTGGCTTCCGAGCACACCTGGGCAGAGATGGACTCCAGTGCTCTCACCTGGAATGTCCCCATGCTTTATCTCATGTGCAAGAGGTTGAAGTTGTACCTTCCCACGGCGAGTCAACAGCAGCTTGCTCAGGCCAATGGCACGCTTGGGGCACACCAAGGGAGACTGCTGCTCGTGAGAAGCAGCCACGTATAGGTCTGTGCCCAGCCCCACACTGGGCTCCTACAGGCATCTCAGCTCAGCAACCTCAAAAGCCTTAAACAGATAAGAAAAGCCCTTCTATAAACAGAGACAATCTCTAAGCAAACTTCTCCTTTCTTGCTTTCTGTCCTCCAGGTCACACGCTTCACAAAGAAAAGGCAGAACGGAAGCAGCAAAGCCTTCCACAAGGGCTGTAGCACCCGAAGGACAACAAAGGCACAGTGGGAAGAAAGTGAGAGCATCACTCCCTGCCTGAGGACGGCCCCAGAGCACTGTGGCATGGGGCCACGTGGTTGTCACAGTGTGATGAGCCCCAGGAGCACAACTTGCAGGACCCACAGTTCCAGGCTGCCTATGGCCATTCAAAGCCACCTGGTTTTCCTCAAGGACAGCATCCAGAGGATGGCTCTCCCTGCCCTGTTTTTCTGCCACTTTCCCTTTTGTTTTCCATTCTCCTTAATAGAAAAAGGACTTTCCACACACTTTTAGCTCTTAGGTGAGTTGCCTGCCTCCATGCCCTTCTGTGCACAAAGAATACATTCTTCTAACTTGGGTAAATCCAGCCCTTAGCACTCAGGGATACCCCATTAGGGGAAACCCAGAGGTCTGTGCTGAGCACATCCCTCCTGAACAGCCCTCCCCCAGCAGTGGGTACCACACAGGCATGGGACAACCATGAGCTTTTCTTATGGCCACCTGGGCTGAAAGCAGCTCCCCAAACCACAGGCAAGAAACACAGAAGGATTCTGTGAGCCTGCATGTGGCCCCTGTGCCTGCTGCCCAGGGCTGCACAGCACTGTGCCCCTTTAAGCAGCAGCTGCTTGGGCATGCACATGGCTCAGGAGAACCCCAAAATCTTTGGAGGATTTTCCCCCATGCCAACACGAGCAGCACAGCATAATGGAAACCAAAGGCCCTGTCCACCTCTCACTTGCAGTGCTGTGGCTTCACCCAGCAGCATTCCCAGCTCACAGCCTGGCTTTCACCTCCCTCCAAGATCTGAACCTGGACAGTCCCCGAGAACAGGATCAGGCCCAGAACTGGCTGCTGGTTTTTGGTGGCCCTGCACAACTAGGGTCTCTGTGGGCATCCTCACCACCACGAGCCCTAACACTCAGCCCTGCCCTACCTGCATGGAGCTGCCAGAGACTGGGCAGCATCTGTCAGCACCTGGGTGCTATCAGGTGTGCAGGGTGAGAGCAGCAGAGCAGTCCTGGGCACACAGCAAGGGCTGCAAAACAAGGAAACTCAGCTGCAGGGATCCTTTTGCTGGAGAATGCTGTAATTTTGTGCCAGTGCAGAAACTAGGGGGCCCAAGAAGTGAAGCAGCTTAGCAGAGAAACCTGTCCTGATATTAAGAGAGAAACCATGGGTTGGAAACAGGTTTTTGCCCTGCAGCTTTAGAGGCAGTGGGGTTGAAAAGAATAATCCAACACTTACCAAACAGTTCAGCAGCCCAGACTCAAACACAGCATCCTTCAGGAGCTCTGCTCTCCAGGTCCTGGATTTCAGAGCTGCCACATCCACAGGGTGACCATGGCTGCTCCAGGAGCCAGCCTGCACGCACAGCACCCCAGGAATCAAGAGAAATCTCCCTCTATTTGGAGGATACGCAAAGGGAAGTGGCCTGCAAAGAGGCACAGGAAGAAGGGCAAGGATCCAGCAGCACCTTCAGCATGGCAATGATCCATAGAGCAGGACAAGCTGTGCCACCACCCCCTGCAGCCCCTTCTCCTCCCATGCAAGGCAGCAGCCCTGCAGCAAGGAGAGGGGCTCATCCCTGCTGACCCCAGCTGCGGGTTAAGTCCACTCCAGTGTCCCACTGTTAGCGAGAGGCCAGCGTTTGTCCTTTGATTTATTTATGCACTGACAAAGATTCAGAAGTGTTGGAAGTGCAGTTTTTTTGCCACCGACTAAAAATAACTGAGCGAAATTCCAGAGCTGCCTTTCAGCGCCGCCGGCTGCGCTCAGCTTACCAGGACAATGGCAGCTGTAGGCTGATGGTGACAACACACAGGCCGGGCTCCAGCACCCTGAATAACGAGTTCTAAAGGGCAAAATTTGGCTGTAATTACAGCTACGCAAAAAGCAGTGCTTAAAAAGACAATTATCCAAATATCTGAACATGCATTGCCAACTTAACACTGGTCAGGGGGATGCAATAAGGGGAATGCAATAAGACTTACTTTGCATAAAATACAAATTCAGGCAGCAAATCCAGAAAGGATCCCTTCCAGGAGGATGCTCGGTTAGCAGCCCGCAGGACACCAGGGATGCTGGGAGCCACACTGCATGGCTTTTAAGCACAAACCATCCACCCTATAAGCTACTGCGGTGGCACGTGGTCACTTCTGAGCCCTGCAGGGTGATGTCCTGTGCACACGCCAGGCAGAATAGGTGCCTGTCACCAACCCAAGCCTGTGGCACTATTCAGGGTGGAAAAAAAGACTAAGTCAGTGCTTTCAGATGAGACAGTCCTTGTGCTAACGCTGACCCTTGCAACTCAAATAGAAGCGAGCCTGCATCAAAAGCACTTTCTGAAGGGCTAAAGGGATTGGTGTCCTTCTGTCAGCAGTTACAAGCAATAACTTCACCGCTTTTCTCCTCACTGGCCTCATCCTTCTGCTGACACCTCGCTGGGTGATGTCAGGGACCCGAGTGCTGCTGCTGTCTGCCAGCTGGAAGGTACCAGACACACACAGTGAGGAGACTCGGCCCCGCTCACATGGCCACTCTGCAAGGCAGACCCAGTTGTGCTTTCTCACTGAAACGTGAAGGGGAAGAGATGCGAGAAGCAACCACATAGATTAGTACAGGAGGTAACAGCAGCTTCCAAGCACACCTCGTGGAGCTCCTGTAACAATTAACTAGACAGCTCTCAGGCATCCATTCCCAACAGCTAGGCTCTGCTGCTCCTCTTTTCTCCTTGGAATGCAAGCTTGAACATCAGAAACCAGGTTTGCTGGCAGTTAAAAGGTTAAATGAGGAATGTTTGCTTTTCCTGAAAACAACATACCTCCACAGCCCGGTTACAGCAAGCGCTGAGGCTGGGTGCATGTTTCCTGCTTCTCCCATGTCGTGCCCTGACTGATGGGATGCCTCACTCCATGCTGATCTCAGCTCAACGCTTTGATCTGCACCACGAGTTGAACGCAGTCAGCTTTTTGTACCAGGGCTGCAGACAGCATGGGATGCACACAGCAAAGCATTTTGTGCATCGTTTTTACCTTATCAGCAGAAATACCACAGCTCCACAGCCTCCAGCAACCAGGGACCAAAGAACCACCGGCCTATACAGCACAGACCAAGGAGCAAGGCAGGGAGCTCAGAAGCTGAGCTCCATATCAAACTGCCCCAGAGAAGCTGCAAATCTTATTGCAGTATTAGCCTACATAGAAAGGAAGAGCAGCCCAGCAACTGCAGCACCCATCCTGCTGTCCTGGCACTGCAGCGCAAGGTGGGTGCTCAGCTTCAGACAATCACTGCCAGGTGAGAGCAGTGGAGGGTGATTTAAAGCATCTGTTACAACTCCTGCTATTGATGGCACATTTCCATATTGCCCTCTGGCAAAGCCATCCACGCATCTATTTTGGATACAGGGAAAACCACAGCAGGTGGGCCAGAGTACAGCAAGTACAGCTCTGATCTGGGTTAGTCCTGCACTGAAGGGCTGGGTAGCAAGGGCTTCTCAGCACTCAGGTGATCTGTGATGGGAGCACTAAGCACCAGATCCTGCACCTGCAAAGTATTTTTTCAGCTCCACAGTTCTATGAGACCACCTTAGGTAATCCAGCACAACATCACCTGAACTTTTTATTGGTGTGGTGTTTTTTTTTATCCCCCTCTGAAGTCAGATTTCCACCACAGCTTAAGAGAGCAGCTCAGCATAACGAGGAAACAAGATGTTCCCAAGCTCAGCTCTGCAGCAGCCACCTTAAAGCTCACGCATACAGATCTGCAGCCTTGCAGGCACAGAACAGAGTAAAGCAGGCGTTTCCTGGACTAAAGGAAATAAATCAGGAGTCCATACTATATTCTTAAATATGGTTTAATACTCTTCTCCATTTCTGTACATCACAACACCAAGATATCACTGCTTGGGATCTCTCTGCAGAGGCTATATAGTATGCGAAGGCTAGGATTTTTCACCCCCGTTTAACGTGTTTGTATGTGTAAGTGTAATACATATCAGTATATATTGATATACACATCAATATATAATGCAATATATATCACTGAAGAGAACACATTGATTAAAGAAATACAAAAATTTGGCATCATTTCCAAACTTAAATAGTAAAAATAAAAACTACAAAAAGGAGCTGCATACCCTAAACGTATCATGTGAAACAACAAGCAGTATATTCAAAAATGTAAATTTACACCCAATTTTTCTGGTCTTGTCATGTCACATTAGACCCATTTACAATGGCAAAATCCAGAACATACCGCTGTGAAGGCCGCAGCTGTGCTCAAAGCTGGGTTTGTGCACACCTGTGGCAGACCCAGACACCTTCCGAGAGAGATTCCAGCTTTGATGTGAAAACAACAGCAAAGCCATCTGCCGGGTTATAATCCAGGGTTACAAGTTATATTGCTCACAATGACAGTAATTTTGGACCTCAACGAACAGTGTGGCAGAAGTTTAAGATGAGCTCCTCCTCCATTCAAGTGAAACAGGATTATTGGAAGAAAAAAAATAGGCAGGTATGCAACTACAGCAACAGAAGCTGCTTTTGACTGATGCATTCAGAGCGATCCCAGTGAAGAACAGAACTCCCAGGCACAAAGGTGTCAGAGTGCCCATCAGAGAACCCAATAACCCCCAAAAGAAGCAAGACGTGATCATCTTGCACCACTAACTTCATCTTCTGCCTGCAGGACCACCTGAAAAACCCTTTGCCATTCCTAACAGATCGAAACGCATCCTACATAGCAGGCATGACAAAAAAGCTTTTGAATCTTGATGCAACCAGAAGTTTTAACCCATTAAGGGCGCGTTAGAGCTCAGCATCAGATCTACAGGACACTTGAGAGCCACAGCAGAGCTCCTTAGTGCTGGGAGGTGGACGCCTCGGTGGGCTGTGCTGAAGCTCATCAGCACCAAGCGGCCCAAATCACCAGCACCAAGGCTTCAGCCAAGGACTCAGATTACTGATTATTTCTGGAAATCACCCGCTTCCATTTAAGAACTGTGGGTTCAATCAAATTCACATAATCAAGGAAACCTTACGCAGTCCTAAAGCAAAAAACAAACAAAAAAAAAGACTGAGGAACAAAACAAAGTGTACCTTACTTCACTTAAATCATGTTTATTTTTGTCAACACTGAAAAAAAAATAAATCTGAAGGCTGCACTGCTCAAATCCAATTAAGCCCAAAGACCTCAGCAGCATTTTCATTGCAATCAGTGAAGTGCATTTCCTAGTCTGTAAGAGCAGTGCTTCTGCAGATAGGCAAAAGCACGTTTGGCTGGTAAGCCTCCCCAAACCATCTGAATTTGCAAGCCACACCTCATAAAGCTAGCACAGGTAAGTGCTTTCTCATTCTTTCGAAGAGAACGAATGGCTCCAATTTCATTACATTTCTTCTTCTGCAGTCTAAGCTGAGAATGCCATGTAAATGGGTCACGTTGCTGCAAAATGCAGCAATTGATTTCTCCAATCAAAGTAAAAAGAAACAAACCAGTAGGATCTTACTTCTATTAATTTTTGAAGGAAGAGGTTTACAGCAGTTAATGCATCATGAAGGTTAAAAAAATCATTTTCATAAAATACAAGAGCAACCAATTTCACCATTGAGTAAAAGTAAAAATTGGGATTCTTTTTAAATTAGTCCAAAGTGGCATATAGGAACTTAGTAGCTTACTGCTGTACTGACACTATGACAAATCAAAGTGTAGGGTTTTGCTTTTTTATATCCAATGTTTGTGGATCAAGTTCTGGAAATGTTCCAATTCTAAGGCAGGGATCTGTTGTGTTTTCCACCATGAGTTTGCTCCTTGGGTTGGATGCTGGAGGGGCGAGGCACGTTTTGCCGGACCCAGGTCGACTACCTAGTAGTCATCAAGGTCAAAAAATTCATCGTCTCCTCCTTGGTATTCCATTCCCTGGAAGTCCACTCGGTACCGCAAGATACCTGGTAAAAACAACACACTTTAGCTTCTTCCAAATTCAAAGGGACGGCGCTGGCAGGTTGATTCCCTCCCTGCACATCAAGAGTTTCTCACCTGAATTTGCAGAAGCTAACTTTGTGCTCGCACTGCAAGATGTGTTTGGGCTGCTGGCTGGCAGCAGGCACTGCTATGGTGAGAACCCACGTGTCACAGCTCAACACAACACACTGCCAAAGAAATACCTACCTGCCCAGCACAGACCAGCCTCCTTACGGCAATGCTGGCCCGCTGCTAGGAGGACCACCAGAAATGGGTCATCTGCCCTAACACGACTGCTTTGACCAAGGCCCAGCAGTTACGTTCAGACAGCAGCTGATGTTGAAGCAACTTTACAATGGAGTGTAAGCTGAACTCAGCAGCTGTCTTCCTGGTCTCTTCTTAACCTCCACATCAAGCCAGGTTTCTGGGATGCTTTTATCTCTGGAAACATTTACCCTAGGTGAAATTTATTTGTACTGCAAGAACTGAAGCCTGGTAGCAAGCAGTATCCAACCATGCTAAAAGCCTGGATCTGACAAGACTAGAAGACTCCTACAACAATAAGCCCTCAAAAGGTTAGAAGCCTGCTGTTTCATACACAGCCAAACTCCTCAAAGTGTTTATTTCCTCCAAGTGCTGCTCTTCAATCCCTAGAAATCCTTCCTTGCTCATGTCTACTTTAGCT